GTGTGACTATTGCCTGAACTTTATTACCATAATTCATTAACGTAGATAAATCACGGTTTTGTCAGAAATCTTTGGTAAATTTCCAAAAACGCTCAGAGTTGTTTATTAAGCTATAAGTACTTCGCGCACGCGTTGTAGCTATATAGTATATAATACGTTTATACGTACCACGGATTATTACAATAATAATTTTATGACAGCGATTATGCGCTATGTGTAGTAGGTACATATTTTTTACAATAATATGTCTATTATTTTAAAAAGTAAAATTGTGCATGTACCCACTGTACATATAGGTCGATACTTGTATAATATATCGTGTGTATACCTAAAGTTCTTATCAGTGAAATGCTGGATATGGTGAGAAAAAAAATCTTACAAGGTAAACATATACGTACTTGTTTATAGAATATCATACAAGTATACATGCATATTATAGTATACAGTTAAAATATTATTTATTACATTCGCAGTGCCCAATATAGGTCGTGTGTATTTGTATCGAATTAGCTGCAAAAGTGAGAAACGTTGTCGTGAATGCATCGTACTTTGTTTTTTCATCTCACAGCTGATTTCCAAATCTTAAAAAAAATCCATTTGCCCGCGATAATGGGTATTTACGCCTGTCTTGCCCACGATGATCGTCAAATGAAAACGCGTGCATCATATTCACGTACCAACCATTAACCGGTATATAATATACTGACCGTCGTCGTCGAACCGAGTAAACATTAATAATTATCACACGCGGTTGCGACGTCGGGCCCGAGGTGTCGGCGGCTTTTCAAAAAAAATAAATAATAATAATAATAAAACAAAATTATAGACGAAAAATAAATCCAACACCATTATACGCGGCGGCGGTGACGACGACGGGTATTTTAATATTATATATTATTATTATTATTATTATTATATACATCTATAATAGGTATTAGGTATATATAGTATTATAATACAGCGTACGTGCTGAGACTTTAACGCACGTAACCGCGTTTCGGGCGGGCGAGCGCGCGCGTACAATAAACGGGAGCCGAGCGATAGGAAGAGAGGAGTGTCGATTTCCAAGATGACGGTAATATAGTATATTATACACATTATAAAAACGAAAACGTCCGAATCGATAGCATCAAATCAAACACGATGCGAAACCCGTTTGGCAGCTTTCCGTAGGTACCCATCGTACGTGTGCCGCAGTATAATATTATTAGGTATATACGCGCATATTATATATTATATTTTGGGCGATCTAATTATAATGAAAAAATAAATTGTACCGTAAATGGAATTTGTTTTATTATAGTAAATATATGAGCATCATACATACATATATATATATATATATATTATAGTCACATGTTGCTCATTCGAAGGTAGGATGTTAGCTATACGCAGCCCTAAAAATATCCAAATTTTTGTAATCACACACATACTTCTATATAATTTTTATAAATAAAACTATGACTTTAAATAGAGCTGTAATATCTCACCAAAATAAATATTGTTTAAAACACACTTTTAAATTTCTTACTACACATACTTATTTAGGAGCTGCCTATATACGTATTGTGTTTATACAATATAATATATTATTATATATATACCTAATGCCTGAAAGAGAAAGAGTGTGAGCAATAAAGAGCTCGACGGCCGTGCAGCACGTAAAATATTGTACCTATGTATAAAATGGTCTCTCGGTTTTCCTACTGTAAAATATGTGTTGTCTATCGGGTCGTTGTCGCAACACCAAACCGAAAAGTTGAACACAATGTTTTTCGTTAAAATATCAAATAGTTGTAGGTTATGCGACGTTGGGTTGGATATACACGTGTTGTTGTTGTTTTTTTTTTTTTTTTTATCGAGCGATAAAAAGTGAGAATAATAAAAAAAAAAAAAATGACAGGAAAATCGGTCGTAAATCGTATTGTTTCGACTGTATATCCATATTTTACGTGGCTAGGTCATAATCATTCCGTGGCCGTTATGATAGGTATTACGTATGTACGATGTCAAGTCGAAAGCTAAACACGCGTTTAATTGTAATATCTATTTAACTCTGTAATAAATGATATATATTATGTATACATCGTCAAACGCATATAGATACATCATATAGCCTAGAGGTATATATATATATATAATATCAGTTATACACATATAGGTACGTGTGTATGAAAATTAAAAGCACAATACAGTCGTAAACCACATGGAAATACAATAATAATAATATAATGTATGCGTTTATACATGGACCTTGTGGGACCGTTTTATTCATACACAAACATATATATATATATAACATATACTTTGTATATAGTTTATATAATAGTCATTAGCTCTATGCGACGTTGTATACTTGGGTGGCAACATTATAAACTGTGTACACTGTACGTATCGTATGTAACATATACGTTCGTTCTTTTACGACTCTCGCGATGTATAATATTTATTTTATGTCCGAAGAACTCCCTCGCTCGTCAGTACCTACGTCAATATTTTCATTCTCTTATTTTTGTCGTTGTCGTCGTGCCTTTATAGTATGTTAATATATACGTAAACGATGTACTACGAAATACTCGTAAGTATATATAGTTTATATTAAATGTATATTAGAAGTAACAGGTACGCTTTGTATAATATTATCATACATGCACTCACTCATTCATATCATATATTATAAATATTATGAGATGTGCTCACTAATTTCCCCGCCCCTTCCCAGCGTTTTGTAGCTATAATATGGCATTTAAAAGCCGAGCAGTATTCTGTACAGACCTACACACTTATTGTTATTATTATTACTATAATTCTATACTGTATAAAAATATTACAAAAACTCGCGCGCGGTCCACGACGAGTACCTCTACATGATAATAATATGATACTTTAAAATACGTAACCGTTTCTTTATTATAAAGTCTTTGTACGATTACACCGCGAGGTGTATTTATGTGTATAGGTACGCCGTCGAGTCCGTCGTGGTGTATTGAAATATTGTTATGTTCTTAAAACGACGTAATGGACAACATAAAATTTCCATTACAATGTGTATAATGTTACTACAGCGTGGTATACGCAATAGCGGGCGCCCTATTTTCTACCCCTCGAGAATCATTGCGCCGCGATTTACCTGCACACGTATACGAGACACCCGTACAGTTAATAATAATTTACAAGTTGTCGGCGGCGGTTAAATGTGTAGGTACTCATTATGGTTATTGTTGTATATGCCGCGTAAATCTTTACACCGTGGGTTATGGTCGAGGACTATTTCCTCGGTGCTTGATGTGTTATCATATATTATAACTTATAACGAATGATCTGTTACGCTTCGGAGTATTTATTTATTAATAAATAATTTCCATAATAGTATTATATTTTATTTTTTTTGGTTCAGGTACGCGTCGTTTTAAATGACTTACATCCATATATCATCGTCTTCATCATTACTAATAGGTTTTTGTTTTATTTCTCGTTGGCATTTTACCATAATCGTGATAACAATTTCCAATTGATATTACTGGTTCAAATGCACCTTCAATCAGTTCTTCGTCCCAATTTTAATAAATATAATTTTATATTGATATTCAGTTTATAAATAATATAATATTGTCAAGTTAATGACGTATTGTAGAATAATATAATAGTATCGTCTTTATTTTTTGTGGTTTTGAGAAGCATTTGAGCATTATGCATTTGATCGTTTGCCGTAGCCTGTCATTTCACATTATTAAGCACATTTTCAATCAGAACTATATTTGCAGTTCAATTTTAAAATTGTATTATTGTAAATGAAATATTCCGAAAGACGTAAATATGATGTTGTTTTAATAGTCGCATATTAATAGTTTTAACGTATTGTCATGAATTATTACTTAAGTATAATTTAACATAACCTAACTTTTATCATATCTTAAAAATGTTGTGAAAATATGGAAATTTAAACATTCCACATTTAAACTAAACAAAATATTAATTAAATATTATCATTAAAAAATTATTCTCTGAGTATTACTTTAAAATATTTTAAAAATATTTATAAAATATAATATTGTTGTCTGAGTAAAAAATCGAAAAAATGGCTTGGTCAATTTTAAGGGTGATTTTGTAACTCATTTATACCTACGTACTATAGTTTTAAAAATATTTTATCTATTTTTAAGGTATTTATAGGCAATTGGCATTTTATTTTTTTGGAATTCAATGAGAATACATTAACACATTTTAACTTGATCTTATATGTTTTCGATATATTTTTAACGAAAGCTTATTATTGCATGTTTTCTACATTCATCTGAGCATTCGGCTCTACAACTCTACGCCTTTGTACAGTTAGGAGTTATGATTAATATGGATTTCGATTGTTATTACCTACGTATGATTTTGATAACTGACATTTTCGGGTCGCCTGTCGCTCTGAATATTTTACCTATGTATAAATATGCATATACACACAAATCTGTATAACGGCAGTGGTGCGACGAGTATTGTCGATTGGAAATTACGCTTGAAAGGTGCCGCAATACAATTGATTATAACGACGTCCGTATATGCATGATATATTGAATAGAATCACTATAATTGCTTTGACGCTGTTATTTCCATAAGTATTATTGTACACAAACATTTAAAAGATGTTTTTTAACTTAAAAATAACATGTATTATTATTAATATTTTTGTTATGCTAAGAAATTAAATTAAATGGCAAATCAATACTTGTTTCCGATATATAAAACGATTTTTCACCGCGGTAGTGAAGAACGTCACGACGTGGCAAAACATTTAGTGGAGACCATAAAGATTGAGTGGAGTAGTATGAAATAGCCGATTCAGAAACCTTGCTCTCGCCCAACTCGCCCTAACACAGCTGACCACACTCGCCCTCTCGCCTCAGACCACACTAGCCATCACACCACTAACCACCTCACCCACCGCCACGGACGCCCAATCGATTTGTCTCTGGTGAGTTTTCTTCTTCTTTCTGTTCTTCGCTTCATCGTTACGCCCAATGTTCGGCTAATTGATATGAAGAAAACATTTTAAGTTGACTGATGAAACTCATTGGGTCTTGTTTAGGAGTGGATCCAATAATTTTATCATCTCTTAAATTGTTGATAAATGGGACCATTTCTTCGTTTGTTTTTGGCGGCGAATCAACTTTGGTGAATTCTCGATCAATATAATTACCAAACATCGCAAATTGGTTTAATACAACTGGTCGTATGATGGTTGACTTTCGAGCGACTGTTTCGACAATACACCATTGCAAATATTGCAATTTCATTAAATCTGTCCTATTTAGCAATACTCGACATCCGGCTAGTGTTTTTGACTCGATTACAAACATATTTTCCCTTTGATACACCATACTAGACAGCGAAATAATATCGATTTCCAGAAAATAATTTCTATTATATTTTTGCGGTTGATCCAAAATAAACGACAATATATTTCCCATAAGGCAAAATATACGTCTTAGAAAGACGGCTGGTATATTAATATATCGCGATGGTGTGATTATTTGCACTACGGTGTTGAATACGTCCGTAGGATCAAGTCCTAAATTCAAAAAATCCGATGTTATTTTGACATGCTGTGAAGAAGTTATTAAATGAACAACGACTTGGAATTTTTCAGTCGGATCAATACCGATATGTATAAACTTACGGGCTGCAAAGTCGAGTGTATAGTTTGTAGATTCAATCAATTCAGACGGCGATGTTGGTAGAATATATGTAAAATTTTTCTTCTTATAAATTGAAGCAGCCATAGTTGTAAAAATAAAACTCTCATGATGAACAAGAATTAAATATAGAAAATACAATAATAATAAACAAAATATAAAAATGTTTTGAACACCAATCAAGCGAGAGCAGTTATGTTATACTGAAGTATAAGGCTGAAGAAACACTAAACGACGACTGATGTCTCTTTCGGTCAAGAGTCTCTCTCAAATTAGGGTATTATATGGGGGGAATGAATCATTTATATGAAAATTAATTGTATTGCTTTACAAAGAAAACAATTAGTAAATATATTAAGTATCAATTGGGATTTCTATACATTTCCGTGTTAGTAGATTTTATAATTCCCCACGACTGTCCACTATATTATAGAGGCTTTACTGTATTACTTTATTTTCAATTTTTTTTTTTTTTATTTGGTAAATATGAATTCAGCACTATCGTACAAATAATCACACCTTTACGATATATAAATAACCCAGCTGATTTTTTACGACGTATATTCTTACTTATGGGAAACATACTATCATTTATACTCGACCTACCTCAAAAATGCAAACGAAATTTTTTTTTGGAAATAGAAATTATTTCGCTGGTTAATACGGTGTATCGAGGGGAAAATTTGCTTGTCGTCGAGTCAAAAACACAAGATGGGTGTCGTGTATTGTTAAAGCGCACGGATTTAATGAACCTGCAATATTTCGAATGGCCAATTTACGAAACAGTTGCACGAAAGTCAGCCATCATACGACCAGTTGTTTTGAACCAATTTTTCGATGATTACATTTGTCGGCGGTGATTCGACTTTGATAAATTCCCGGTCTATTTAATTACCAATCATCGAAAAATTCGCCGGTCATTTTTAATTAAATCATCAACGAGTTGGTGACGTTTATTTCTGTGACAATGAACGGACGTCCGTTTCGTGTTTCATAAACATTTATGAATTTTCCGGACTCACAACCATGAAATTTTAATACCTATCGATTTGCAGTAGATCTATCTACAAATTCTACAAAGCCATCAACATAAAAAGTTTTTAAACGGCAATAAATCTCAGTAGTAGTCACATTTTCAACAGTTGAAAAAATTCGATAACACCGCACTGTTTAACTTGCGTTGACATAGCATTAGAACACGTCTCCACACTTTCGCTACTAAAACCGAACCGGTGAACGCAACTCCTTCTAAAATGGGCATGCGTTTAGTGGGAGATCGGTACTTCCGAATGTAATCATGCGCGTTTCTGTACCTAGATCATTTTGTTCGTGTTCTACGAATATCTGTAACATTATTTTTCAGATTATTCTCATAATATTATGTTATTATGTGAACTACGTTCAATGTGTAACGCGCTCTTAGTTTGTGTAGGTATACAATGTACCTACCTGTATTATTTATCATCGACTGGTTGCGTAATTCAGTAATTGTTGTAATTCGGTATAGCGATTACGCCGTATACGATGTGTGTCTACAAACATTTCGGACTTCAGCGCGTAAGAGCGATATTAATTTTTTTTAGAATTTAAAATTCAAACCACGTTACGCCATCCTATACACGTACCCATATCATATAGGTGCCGTATAAACGTGTCGTCTATATAATAAACCGAACGGTTTAAGATTACACGGATACGTATGCGGCGAGCGCCGTCCGCCGACAGCCACAGCCGATATAATATAATGAAGACGTATTCCGGCTATTCAAAACGTTCCGAAAAAAAATGTCAACAGCCACCATCGTTCGGTGTATCCATTACGCGCGAGGGTCGTTAACAAATATTCCTTATCAGAGGCAGTTAGTCATTCTAACGCGCCGCAGACCGAAGACGTCCTGTGCAGTGGGCGAGAGGAGGGTGGTGTAGCGAGTCGCGGCGGATACGAGAGAGAAAGAGACGTACGTGGCCGAGGACGAGTATTGAAAAAATGAGCTGAAAAAAAATCGCCGCCGCCGATGTTAAATACCTGTTCGATTAGGTAGCTGGTAGCCGAATAAATAATTACTTATGGAAATCGGTCTTAAGATTCAGTTTCCCCCGCGACAACGACACTTTATTACTTTGAAAACGAGAATCCGCTAAGGACGCACTGCCCGTCTCTCCTTCGCATGCGCGCACACACGTTTTTATTATTAATACAATAATATACGTCTGTCAGTCAATTAGAGTACAGGTTTTTTATCTATAAATACCGTCGATTTATTTCTTTTCTTGCCGTTCGTCTACGACCGTTTCCCGCGACGGAGTACAACAACGAGTGGATAAAAAATTGCCAAGGAATACTAATAATATATAGTTTGATTTTATTTATTGATTTTTTTTCCTCTTCCCGAAGCAAATGAGATAGTATCGCGTGATATCACATATAAATATATACATTTATTATGTCGATAACATATATTTTATTAACATATTACTATGTATAATGTACGATATATAGTTACGACATTCGTATTTTAGCCGTTTTCGTCGGAAAGAAGTTTTTTTTTCTTAATTGTACAACCTTTATTGCAGTATGATACGAATATAAATCGCTTGGTTGTTATAAACCCATCTTTAATTATATCTATGTGACTATGTAATATAAGTTTACGAGTACAGTGAAACGACCACCCATCGATTAACTTTCGGAGAAAAAATAGTTGCGATTTCGTTCGTCTTCGCCGATGTTGTTGCTCATACCATGTCTAACGAGCTTATTATTTTAGTTACCATTCCATATACGTACATGGGCTTATGAATAATTTCAGTATAATTTTGTTTACCGATAAATATTAAGTCCGTTCTCCGTAAAAATGTTCACATTTGCATCATTCTACGTACTTCGGTAAGGTTAGTGAGGATCTGGACACTCGGGGGTTAAGTATTTTTTTTTACTTTTTTCTAGTGAGAGGGAGAAGGAGACGTATAAAACTGCACAGTGCACGGGCTTGATTGATTGTACCTGCAGAAACCCATAAACCGAAAACCATTACGCCTATAAGTGTGCAACGATTTCTGTGCCATGAAAGATATCACGGCCGAGTGTGCACACGAGATTGCACACGAGATTGTTCCCGGAACGGCATTCCGCCCGACTTCTATTTGGAATCTCGGTTAAACGTTCAGTAAATATTTGAGCGCGTGCGACGACGCTGAAATTCTTTTTTTCCACCGCGGCGATCGGCTGGATTCCGGTGGTCGTCCACGCGCCGCGCTTTGATTACGACGTTTATAATAATATACAATATAGGCATTAGCTCTATACGAAAAACCCCGTCACGATCGAATCGATTTTCACCGAAGATAGTATTTACCAGTGGTTTTCAACCTGTGCGTCGCGGTTCTCAGGGGCTTCATCGGTTATTATCAAGAGTGCCGTGTTCGTAGTAGAAACTAAAAATAAAATTATAATATACCTATCCATTAAATATTAAAATTAGTATTATTGTGTTAATTATTCAATTGTAAAAAAATAAATCCCAAAGAAAAAAAAATGTTTCCTATTATTAATAAATAATAATTAATAAAAAATATTAATGAAAAAAAATAAATATTATTAATTTATAATTAATAATATTTTTTTTATTATTTCATCATTGAATAAAGTTAGATTAATAAATAATGTAAACTTTTTTATTTCAAATGTTTGTGTGGGAGTCGTTATCTATTTTATTACAAAATGTATACAATGTCGTATACTTTTATACTGAGCCGTTATGAATAGCTTATTCACTATGAGTTTAGATAAACAAACTGCAGTGTTATAATTTATAATATAGGTACGTAAAATAATACATTGCCAAATCCAAACAATAGTTTATACGATTTCTAAGTAATTTGCGTTTACCTCAATCAATTTAATATTTTTCTATGTGCGCTTATTGTGTATTTATCACTGTGTGTTACCCAAATGATTGGAAGTTTTATGTATGGTAACTGGACACATCTATAGTTGATATTAAAATGTCATTTTTAAATCCCGGTTTGAAATTTATATTTGGAAATTTGATAATTATGAAATTATCAATGTATCTATAAAGTATCAATACATCAGAATCTATTTATCAATTATCGTTATTGAACAAGGCCCCTTGAAAAAATCAATCCTTTTAAGGATGTATACTCTGTATAAAACGGATAAAACGTGTGTTTCAGTGGGGATGACTTATCAGCTTACCACTTAAATTTTAAAGAATGGTTTTTTCAACTGGCTTTGGGTGAATCAGATATGGTAGTTATTCTTTTATAACGCGTGGATCGAGTGTGCTTTTTGCACGCGACGTAAAACAATATGATAATTAGTAGTTCACCTGAGCTACCTGCGAGAGGGTGCAGTGAAAAATTTAACTGGCGAGAACAATGGGTTCTTCCTATAATATATAGATTATTATACCGATAATATATAGCTAATGTACAATATGCGTCGTCAGTGGCTTGTATATGCATATAGTAAAAATGTTCGCAATTGGTAATAGTGCTAATGGTTATTTTACATAATTACTTTCATTTGACAATTTATTAAATTGCCGTTCGACTCCAGAAATGGCTCGTGTCAATTTACACGTCGAATACCACACCCTAAATTATAACTTAGGTACCTGCCTACATAACTTTAAAATGAAAAAAATAATTGAATTTACATTATAATTAACCAGCACCTAAAACTAATCAAACTTCGTACACAATATTGATGGATTATTTTTTTTTTTTTTTTTTAGTTATTTATTAAATTACTATATTTACAATCTATATTATATAGAACATCTAAGTACATTTGGATAATAATAAACACATAATAAATCGTCAAATTGTATAAAATAATAAAATTAAGTACCATTATGTACAATATAAAAGTATGTGAACCAAACAAAACGAAGCTTATGTAAACTTTTTTAGACTTAGATGATTATGAAGAATCTTTTGGTTTTGACTTCAAAATTATCCATTGAATATTGAATGTTTTATTAGCAATTTAAAATAGTTTTATTAGATAAATGTAGTATTATTTCAATTATAAAATTACTTTTTTACATTAAAAACTCTGG